TATCTAAACGTATACAAGTATGTTTATATGTCCGTCTGTGGTATCCATAACACATGGAATCCTAATTTGGGTCGTTGGGAATGACCGTGCATGATTTGTTCCTAATTTTATAAACTGTTTTTTATAAACTACAAATGTTCAGATAATTTATTAAGAGTTTCTACTATTTCTATCGGTCTAGTTAACTTTTATATATTAACAGAAATAATTTTATATTTAAATGAAATTCATTTCTAGATTTAATAAAATTCTAAAGGTGAATCCACATCTTTCTTGTTCCAATACAAAGACCATTACAATAAAAATATTAAAAACCACATAAGTAAAGGCCGGAGGTCGTCGGCAGTTCGGAGCAAATGTCGCTGCGGACACTTACATTATTCCTTAGTGCCCCTGGCCGGTCGCGGACTTGCCCCTGCACACATTATCTCAATACTTTAGATAGTCACCGAGAAACTCCGCGCGTCCACGATCGTTCCCTCAAATGACCGGCCATTTGCTGATATCCGATTAGTCTGATTGTGTTTGTGTTCTATGACAAAAATATAATCCCTCCTAGAGTTTAATAAGCGTTACCGGAGCGGAAATCTATCTCGTGCCATCGAAGACGTTCCCTTTCAAAAGGATTGGGATTTATCAAAAGACGCACGGTACGAATGTCCGTCCGTGTACTTTGAAGGATTTTCTAGGATTTAATCAGAAGATGTAGTTCCTGCAATACGGATTATTTTACTTCAATTAAATTTTATAATAACATGAACATTTGAAAGACAGCTTAAGAGAGTGTTTGCGGTCAACTATATATTTCCTTAAATACTTGCTAGGCTATACTACTATAAGGTCGGTGATACTAACCAATTGGTGGTGGAGTCATGTCACACGATGTTGTGGTTCATAGTGGAAGTCATTCGTTAAGAGTTGTACGGTCTGTTGCAAATTTGTATGGAGATCATATAATAGCTTATAAAGCCCCACGAGTACGTTAATTGAAATTATTATAAAGAAACTACCTAGGTGGCGTTGGCGGTTTAGTCACTGGTACCAGGCGCCTGGCATAAAACTAGTTGTCTTTACTTAACTATCATTTCATTTTACATAGATTTTTTGTCTTTCTAACACCGCAAATTTTATAACAATTTATCTCAAGTAAGGCTAAAATAATATAGCTAGGCGGATAAGTCACGGTCATTTGGGATCCCAAACTAGAATTCTCTATATATATAAGAAATAAAGACTGACCAAGAAACATAGAGACCTGCGTTTAAATAGATACAAATATAGATATTAAACATCCATACTAAGACCAAGCAAGACTGTTTCTCGCACGAATGTTTGCCTGATGTGGGAGTCAAACTCACATCATATTAAAAATATAATATGTTTACGATTAGTATTTACGGATACTTATGGAATGTCATGGTTCGGCAATGAATATCTAAATACGATTGAACTAAGCTGCCTATGGCTACCGTTGAACTTACAATAAAATTCCATTAAAACAGATGGCGTTCATTATTGTTTGGTACGATTTTTTTTAGCTGCATTATCCTTGAACTTCTTCAGCAGATTGTATGTAGTTACAATAAAAAGATAGATACCTAATCGGAGATCGAAGAACAACCGCCACGCATGCACCACGCATCACTGCTTAACGAATTTTTGGGATTCATATTATCTTAAAATTTAGGTGTTTAATATTGAATCGTAAATAAAACGATTTCATAACGTCACATCGAACGATCCAGTATCGCAATGTGCAATAGGAAACTTCTGCAGATTGCTGACTCGGGTAATGCCACACGATACCTCCGACTGCCAACAAACAATACGATTCAGAGTATTGCATGTACATTGTTAGTTAGTTATTTTATCATTGTAATAAGTAAATGCGAATTGTATGTATTAAGGTCTGGAGCAAGTATATTTTAATATTCAAATCAAATCAAATCAAAAAAGTTTTATTCAACATAAATGAAAGTACATACTTATTGAACGTCAAAAGAATTACCGCCAATTCACAAGAATTAGCCTCCGTCCTGAGAAGAATTGGCAAGAAACTCAGCGGGCATGTTTTTTTTTTTTTTTTTTTAATATTAGATTTTTATTTTAAATAATTTTTTTTTTTAAATATTCATATTACAATAAGTAATTATAACATAACAATTTTACAATATTGAAATTCCCGGAGCGAGCAACTCATTCCCACTTTGTGCAATCTTCTAGATAATCATTGACTTTATAGTAAGCTTTATTGCACAGATGTTCTTTAATAGTTTTCTTAAACCTATGTATATGTAGGTTCTGAACATCTTNTTTAGCCTACCAGCGAATAGGTACGTTTCTGTAACAATTTGAAGGCTTGTTGCTGTTTCTTTGACAGCAAATTCAAGTACAAATTCGGTAACATAATATGTACAACAAAACAACAATATCTCTGTAACAAAATCAAAGTAAACATCCACATAATGTTACAGGGATATTGGACCAAGAAAATATGTTTTTGTGAGTACCCTTTCAGGGTGTTGGTAAATCAAAACCATAAAAACTGACTACAAGTGAAATTGTGTTATTTTAGTAAAAACTCGTTGGTAGCCGTATCTCTACTAAACTCTGACTGGGGGGATCAGTGGGAAGAAATATGACGATAATGGAAAGATGCGACGTCCAAATCGCAAGGGAAATTTATTGTTGTCATAAGCATTTGGTTTAATTCGATATACATAATGTGTGGGAATGAACTAGATGCGATTGTGAAATGTATAATGAACAAATGTAAATCATTGCATTATTTCATGTAAAATCAAAGTTAAACAAATTAAATTTTCAAATTAGACGCCAAAAAAGAATAAATTATAAGAATGCACTAATTTCCGGGTCCACAGATCCATGAATAGAATGCTTATAAAACTTTATAGAGGGCGAGTCGGTTCCAACTCTGTTCTCTTCTGTTGGATGAGAGAGCGATGCCTCTCTCATAGTGGTTGGTATATTTTACACTAAGAATATAAAACCTGTACAGTCAACGACTACGTATTTCATATCTATTTGGCTAATAATGGTGTTATTTAAAGACACACCTAAAACCACAACACTTAACCAATGAATCACATTGCTAGAATTCGCTTTATGTCAAGACTTCGGTTTTGAGAAAAAAAAAATCCCTTTCCGCAAATAAGATATAATGAGTTTTTCATTAAACAATAGGATTAAAAATCAGTCAGTCAGAATGAGGGAAACGGGAATTCTCCAATGGAGCTGACAAATTGAATGTTGTTTTTAGTAGGAAGATCAGAGTCGTGATGCGTTAGCTTGTAATACCAGTTACTTAATAAAAATCCTTTTGTTTTTATAATCTAAAGGATACTGCCGACCACGATGACAGTGTTGCCACAAAGCGAAGCGGCGAGCGCTAAGAATACGCAAACAGGTGTCGACTCCGAGGTTATATTTGCATATAAATAGAGTTCCTGCTTAACTGTAACACAGGCTCGTCCCTTTCTCTCTCGTTGCTCGCTGGCCGCTAGAGCAGCACGGAGTGTTACGCCTCCTTGCACGCGCTACACGCAAGTGCGACTCACTCCAGGAGATTCTATTTACGTACGGTGATGTAACATCGACAACAGGCTGCTAATGTAACTGGAATCAAGGAGACTGATTCTCTCCATCACTTGATTGAACTTCGGCATGGACGCAGTAAAAACTATCCGCTCACTTAACTTGTAGAACGCGTGGTCTTGTTATGCGATGCACATAACATTCCCGGCTGATGAGAAATTTCAAATGCGAGTCGTTAAAGAATATTCTTGGGAAGTTAATGCACGTACAGGTTTTTCTCGTGTGGAAGTTATTATAATGCACAGCTGAACCGGTCGGGGATACGACTAGGAAGCAGTCTTCGCATTTTATCGATCGTAGTCTTCCCTTAATTCGCATGAAAAACTTTAGAGCTTATGTCGCGCGAATAGCAAGAAGACATAAATAATGGAAGACTTGTGTCTTGTAGAATATTAATATGTTCGTTGTGCGATTGCTTCGATGCAATTGCGAAACTATAAAATTTTATTATACGTGACGTCAGACGATCAGTGATTGTCACGGGAGCCGGTTCCGCACCTCTTCCGTTATACATCACAGCGACTCTAGTTTCGGGTGCGTGACCCTTCTGCGTAGGCGCAGGTGACACGCGAACTCGATATTATTTCGAAATCCGACCGTAGTGCCTAACTAGTTCTGTTATCCGAGACCCCTGTTATTTGTTCTTTTTTTTTTGGGACTGAACGTTTTCTATTTGTTCCGTCGGGCCCTTTTTTTGCTGGGCTGCACCGTCTTGGAAGGCTTAGGGCGTTTTTACTCGGGCACGGGGGAGTGGAGGCTCTGGGGGGGCGCCTCCCGCCGCCCGAACCGTCCTTGGCCCGAGCGTTCACCTTGACGGCAACGCAGCGGCCGGCGCACCACAGGTAACAAAGTTCCGCGAACTACGTGATTTCTATGGTTGTCCGCCGAAAGTGGATCTCTCGACGATCGTTCGGACGGCACTAATCTTACGAGGAACCGTGTAATGAAACACTACGGACTGCCCTCCGATCGGACCCCCATCCGAGTCTGCGTGCTTTACTATTTTCAATATTTAATGATTCACTCATTAGAAACCGAAGCCAATATGATCTTTCACGGAAAGGATCGTCGTGGGGGTCCTCACGATGTATTGCATTACATCATTATAAGAATTTTTCATATTGTTGTGTATTATTCTTAGGCCTAATTTACAGTTATAAAATTTTCAACGCGTTTCTCGTTTTTGCCAAGACATAAAGACAATTTAAATGATAACGAAAACTACGAGAAGTTACTCCACCAAATCCCTATTTATTTATCGATCTTTGTATCCATCAATTTTACTTATATCCATCTAATGTATTTTTTGTATTCTATCAAAACATACACATTTTGAACTAGTTATTATATTCATGTATTATAAAGTTTCTCAGTTTTCTTCACTGGGAAACGAGTGGTATCGTGTTCTCCGAAGAAGAAGATAACGCATAACTTTTTTAAGTTGTTTTCACGGAAATAAGATAAATGCTAAGATAAACTTAGCAAGCGAGAGGAGGGTCGACCGTGAAAGTTTTTATGAAGCGCATTTAAACAGTTGTCGTACTCACGACTATACTTCAACGAGCACTCTGTGTGAATATAACTTGTCGAGGTCCTGGAACTCATTCTTGTCCAATCCTATTTTTACGTTTTTATCGTCGACGTAGTGATTTACTGCTTCGAAAGCGTACTTGCGGCTTACAACAGAATAATAACTTTGGGTTATTGGCGTTTTAGTATTGAAGGCAGAGTACAAGTCGACGGTTGCTGTTCGTTCGTTCACCTTTCCACTGTAAATGCACTTTGGTTGTATTACTATGCATTATGTCCACGTGCTTTGATAATGTGCACTATCACGCGTCGATTAATTAGTTTGAATTCGCGAAGCTGCTGTCGCAGAAACGGGGCTCGTTTCGTTCTCCCATAGCTGTTGCAGTGTAATCTTATCGCATTAGAGGCCGGACATAGGAAGGGCATTAAATTTGAACGATCGTGAAACGGTGCGGCGCGGCGGCCAGAACGAACGCGCCTGAAACCGGTCGCCCGTCCGTAAATAATGGATTAGAGAGGGGGGAGGGACGCGGAGGGGGCGGCGGCGCACGCAACGGCTGCGCGCGCGGACGTAGGGGGGCGCCTCCCGTCAGCTGTTGCGCGCCCGGACCGCGCGCACACTGCCGCCAATGCATCGGCGAACACAGCGCGTGCCGCCCGTCCTGCTGCTCGCGCGTACCGTGCTCACAGTGACATAGTGTAGTGCGGCGACGACCCGATCTGTGTGCCCTACTAACCAGTGATGGTGTTTTGTGTGTGAGAATGCCCAGGATGTGCAGTGCGCGTGCTGCAGCGCGGAGCTGACCGTGGACCGAGAGATGAGAAGTTATGTTACACCGACCGAGGTGATTATCCCCGACCTCGGCCCTAAAAACACCATGCATGTGGGAACGCCACGGGAGCTTTGGCATGTCGTGCCCGTTTCACTGCTTTATCTCCACGAATGCCTAATTTTGGGTAAGAAACGGCGAAGTGTATTTCGGCATTTTTGGCGCTTTTTTTCGAGTACGTACTGCCTGCTCGAAGAAACTTGTTTCGTTAGGCGCGACAAAAAAAGTTTTTATTTTATTTTAACAATGGGTGTCTCTCTCCCTTCGCGTTCGAGGGACTCATTGTGCCGAAGGTTCGGCTTGATTTTTTATGTCTGCCGTTGATTTCGGGGCTTAAATAATATAAGAATCGGGGTGCACTATACCGAACTCGAAGAGGAAAAAGTTCGGTTGCATTTTGTTCATACAAATATATTATCGTTTCCTTCCAGACCAAATATTTGTGTATAAAATAAAATATTAAGATTTTTATATCTTCCTAGACTTATCAGAGTTACGAGCTAGGAACCGTTTAAAATTATGCTAATTGCCCATTTTATTCTGCTTTTAGATATCCAGTAAACATATTTGATGAGTAAAACAAAATAATACTCTAAACATAGTTATATTTTAACCATTCATAAAAATGTAAATCTTAGTTTCGTTGTAGGAAATGCGAAATATTAATACAATGAAAAATCAATTTTTATCGAAATTGACCGCGTTAGTTTTATAAAATAATCTAACAAACAAAAAAAATCGTACTAAAATGAACGTAATGTCATCACTGAAGCTGCAAATAATGTAGAATTACTTATAAGCGCAAAAAAACCCGCAAACAATGTTTATTATACTGAACCAGGAAATCCTGAAACATTGGCACCAATCAATCGTTCAATAAAAATACAATACCATAATCTATTAATTGCCCAGCAGTTGACTTGTGTTTATTTTTCTTCTAATTATTATAACTACCTATTTATAATAGTAACAATAATTATTATTATTGTAATAAAATAAACAAAAATCATACGAACAATGATAATTATTATCAGTTTTAGTTAGAATAAAATGAGTTGAGGAAGAATTGAGAACAATAACTAAAATCAAATATTCATGTTGGACTCATTCGATTTACAACGAATTTAAATATTATTAATTAAATTTAGTTAAGTATTTAAATGAATGACAATGTTGCTTATATGATATTTAGTTCGCAATTTGCCACATTCTGATTGAGATATTCTCGTTAAGATTTTTCTCGGCATCGCCTAATTGCCTGTAGCTAGCTGGTTTATTGAAACTCGTCATAGCTCGAATAGGGTTTGCATTGAATTAGAATGTTGTTCTTGAGAATGCCTTTTATTAAAGGGACACAAACAAGCAGGTGTGTCTAACACCTTGTGTTCAACCTTCCGGTTTTATTCATTGAGTATTTAATCTAGTCTTTGTTTTATCTGACATTCTTTATTTTGCGTGACATTTGACGAGCTTCGTTCCACACATAGACATTTTTCTCGATATATGAAACATTTTCCCCTAAATGACTTTTCGAATATGTTCTAATATTATTGTACTTTTATAATTTAACTTCTTACGCTGTCTTCAAACATTGATTTAAATATATAATGATACTTGTAGTATCAGCTGCAAACAATGGAAAGATTCCATTTATTAAATCGAATGCAGTATGCTAGTAACTTCACTCGCGTTGAATTTGTAATTCGGAAATTATGAAGAGCACGGTTACTCTTTCCTTCGAGTTACTAATGTTACCTTCTTGTCTATAAACTGCTTATCTTATTTTAATAGATTACGCGGCGTTGCCCGGGTCATGTCATTTACTATGATGATAAAGAGTATCCTATGTGTTATCATCGAAACATTTGCGTTCAGCCATTTTTGCTTGATTCAATAACGAACATCGAAGGCTATACTACTAACTTTTCATTTACAATTTAAATAAATACCAACCTAGTTAATGCTTTTTAAAAATTCACAGCGCCCCGGCACGGAATGAAAGTATATTTGCAATATAAAAATTTATCGTAATACTCTGTAAAGGTAATTTAGTGTCGGATTAACACGAGTTGGACAGATGTTGCGAACGACAACGCAAGGTGACCTTATACCCGCCTTTTTGCAGTTACATTGATTGATTGGACATTATCGTCAACACTCGATTTATACATAACACGTGCGTCAAACATCGAACCTATGTATAAACCTTTTAATTTTTTAATGTATAATTGTATTTTACAACGTTCGCATTACGACTTAAACAGACTGTGACGTGTGTTGCGTTCAATGTTTTCAACACCGAATAATACTTATCGTTTTGATCACTTTCTAACGTCATCTGTCAATGTCATATCGACTTTTTTTAATGAAATTTCTTGCTTGAAAACACTGGCGATATTTTTTTTTTTATGAAACGTAATGGTTTTTTGCCGTTCCTGGTGCATCGAGCCGAGTTTTACGACTGAACCTTTCCGTGTGCCTGCCATTTTAGTTTTCAGTTATCACGTTTTCTCGTTTCTGTCATAATTGTTTATAATTTTTTTAGTCTCTTGTTCGTTCGTGTTTATGGCTTTGTTTTATATATATGTAGTAGTTTTAGTGTTGAATGCGTTGGTTTTTAGATAAACGGTACAGTCGTTTAGAAAACGCTATTTGTGTATTCAGTTGTTTTTGCTATCGGCAAAGGCGTACTCTTCACGAGGCCTTTTATCATCACAATTCCGTTTCTGCAAAGTATACGTGCTTAGAGTGTCCGCTTAAACGTTTTCTTTGTGGAGCACGGCCATGTAAATACATTCAAATGTATATTATGCTTGTAGCACAGGGTATAGGATATAAGTAGGTTGGTTTCAAGTTTGCCGGGCGACTGCATCGTCGGTGCATCGCTCGTGGGTATAATGTGATTTAAAAGCAATCTCGGTGCTAAAGCACGCTCAATTTCCGCGCTCCGCTCGTCTGATCGACTCTGCGATTACGCAACGCCAACGCCGCTCCGTTCTTCCTAAGCCTAATAGTTTGGGGATTTAAGAGCTCAAATGATTTTGTTCAAAATTACTTTTTATTATTAACTAGCTTTTGCTCGCGACTTCGTCCGCGTGGAATAGTTACTTTGGTACAACTCTAAATTTTACCCGCAACTTCATTTACGTAGAAGTAAGTATATTTTTGAATAATAGAATGTTAAGGAGCTATTTAAGGTACCAAAATCATGCTTTTTAGCTGACTTCAAAAGAGGAGGTTATTAGTGCTCCGCTCGTATTGGTCTTAGCGTGATGTTATATATAGTATGTTATATAGTCTTCGTCAATAAATGGGCTATCTGAGACTGAAAGAATTTTTCAAATCGAACCAGTAGTTCCTGAGATTAGTCAAACAATCAAACTCCTCAGCTTTATAATATTAATACAGATGAGCACTTAAATTTGCGGATATATTATGTTGATTAAACACTCCCCTTTACTATTAAAAGTTCAATAATAAAAAACATGTCGCGTAGAAATGTGTGACTACATGATAATTTGTAGGTAAAATGGGCTGATAATTTTACAAATAACTTGTGTTGTGTACTTAACAAGATACAGCTCGTCTTGATTTAAAAAAAAATTAAAAGAAAATTGTATGTAAATTTTCATAAAATCTTAAAAGTAATTTACAAATATTTAAATATCTAATTATAGTTCTGTTATAGAATTAAAGTAACGTATGATACATAAATACGTCATAAATCAATATGTTCGTAAAACAGAACTAACCGCAAGTTGAGAATCACTAAGGCTAAACCTCAGAAATGGCCTAAATGCAAGCCCGCCGGAACCGGTTTTCCCGTACACTGCCCTCTGTCGACTTCAGAATAAAACCTGTATTCGATTTTACATATTAAAATCGATTTTATAATCGTTTAAATCGATCGTCTTCCTCTCATTATGTTAATTTTAAATCGTATCGATTTTATTGAGTCGTTCTCGCTGTTTTTATTTTCATGTAGTTTTGTTGTAGCGTGTTGTAATAATGTTTATATATTTTTATATTCGTTTATTGTTATTTTACGTTTAAAATGTAAGAATGTTAACATCGTCTATTGAATGAAATGGTTTGTCTCTTATTGATTTTCACTAGTTAATTAAGGTTTGATTTGTTCACTACGGTCAATCGTGACAATCTTTATAGTCATTAGAATATTTAAAAGGAATCATGGGCTGTATTATTAACTTTTATTTTGAGTGATTGAACGTTCGTCGTGATTACGGAACCAAAACGGAGTTTCAATCGTGATAGATGCTTTGTGTCCGCAGGGAAGATCTAAAATAGGGTTAAACTTTGACGTTATTTATTACAATTATAATTTAATTATGAATAGCTTAAAAAAAAAAAAAATTAATAGTATGTATCTAAATATGAATTAAGGTTGTAAATAAAGGCGTCTTTATCTTTATCTTTATGACTAGCTGCGTCCGTGGCATCGCCCGCAACAATATACTATTTTATGTTAAAACATCAAAACCATGAGACGATTCTGAAAGTTTACTACGTAAGTTAATTTTAGATGAACATACATTACACACAGACACATATAATATATAAATTCGACCTATGGTTCAAAAGATGTAAATCAATTCCACCAGCGCCAGTTATTCGGCAAAACATAACTATTGAGTTGTTGGAGTGGTCATGTCACCCTTTATATGTATGTGTGCAAAGTTTCATATCAATTGTAGCGGCTCTCGGCTTTTAGGTCAACGTACCCACACATACATTATTTTTTATATATACTCGTATAGATTAAGGTAATTTTTTTTGAAAACGAGTGTTTTTGTAATATTATTTCAGTTGTTCAAATGTCATCTTTATCAGTAAAGGATTATTAGGTCTAAATGATTTCATTGTAGTGTTGTATGTTGCAACAAGAAAAATGCAAGCGATCGTAATATAATATATTGGTGAATGTATGTGTAATAATGTCATTTCCCAAGGATATGTATGTACCCTTCTTAACATGGTACATATATGGTTTGAAAATGTTTCAGGGTGGGTGGTAGGCAATTTACTGTGCGCTTCGTATTTTATGATGATTATGAGTGACGGTGATCGCTTACCATCATATAGATCGTATACACGAATTCAACCTAC